TGAATAGGATACTTTATATATAAAATGTTTAAAATAAAACTGCTTGCATGATTTTGTTGAAACCAAACTGTTGTAAACGATGTGTGAACTGCAATAATTTCGCACACCTGTGATGGGAAATTCATGAAACCATGACCTTGAGTCTGCTTCTGGGTTTGTTTTTTTCTCACCTTAATTGAAAAGGTCCAGATACACAAAGCACCAAAAGCTATTTGAGTATTTCAGAGGGTCTTTAACAGCAAGGGACTATGAGCTATAAACGTAAATGTTTCTTTTGAGTTCCAAAGGAAGCACAGTAAGAGTATGGACTTCTTGTGGATTTTGTGCTTGTAAAATTGGAGCTGCATACCGAAATACTGCAGTGTGTAAGAGCCCTGTATGGTAGGCATTCCAGTGAACGAGAGAATCCTAAGGCCTCCCGTAATTCAGATCAGCCAGACTGCATGTGGCAACTGCATAGAAAAGAAACCATCAAGAACAGACACAGAACTTCATGTGTAGCTTTTCATAAAATACATAAATGGCATAGCTTTATTATGTCCTCTTTTAAATTAGGGTAAAACACATTTTAAGTGAGGCTCTGTCTTGCAAAGTACTACTGTTACTGACATAGAGGTTAGGCATCTGTACCCTTAAAAAAATATTTGTTGCTTTTTCTCAGTGCTGTGTTAAACCTCTAAAGGGATACAAAAGTAGTTTTGACATAGTAGTAATTTTTGACATTCAGAACACAGAACTCTTGTGTTAATAAATTAGAATAACCAGAAAAATATAATAGAATTACAGACCAGCACACGTTGGAAAGGACTTTGGAAGATCATCAGGCCCAACCTTTAACAAATGTCTGTATGATGAATCTTAAAAATCAGTAGTCTAGCAATGAGTGCTATCTTGTTTGTGTTCAATAAGGAAAGAATTTTTATTTTTGTTAAAGTATTTGAACAGCTGTTGCTGACTATTTAATTTGCTCTAAACAGAAAGGGAGGATATTGTAATAGGACTGTGTTAGTTCTCTTGTATATTCATTAACTCCTTTCCTGGACACTGTCACACACACTGCAGAGCCCCCTGCTGTTAAGGGCCATCCAAAATATTTTTGTATGTTTTGCTATGCCTGAAACTTCTCAGTTAAGATGAAAAACAAAATCCTGAAATATTTTCCAGGTTCTCACTGCATGATTTAATCTCAATCCAGGAACAAATCTGGATGTCTTGCCTATATGAAACACAACTGTACTTTTGGCAACAGTTACAGTTTATAGAAAATATAAACTTGTCTTTGTGTATCTGTGGAGAAAGACCTCTGCTGGCAGCAGATCGGTGTAGGCTGAAAGCAGTACACACAGTGAGAAGGTAAACAAAACCCACCCTCTGAGAGATAATTTAAATACTGACAAGAAAATGAACATGGCAAGTCAGCCAATTCAGTCACTCTGCACGCAGCAGAAACCATAGCACAGGGATGGATGCTCACAAGTGCAGAATATCTTCTCATGCCCTGTGTGGGAGCTGGACTTGAAGCAACAAATGGCTGTGCAGTTCATAGGCATGAATGCTAAGAATGAGAGAAAGAGTGGGAGAAACAGAGAGGCCACAGAGCACCGACATGAGCTGTTAAGAATGAGACTCAAGGAGGAAGGGTAGAAACAAATCAATAGGTTGTACTGTTCTAGGAAAGCATTCTGCACATGATGAAAATGTTTGGCTATTTATTCATCACACAATAATTGTTAGTAAGGATGGAGTGGCATGACAAGCTGAGAATCTTTAGGGGACTTTCTAGGGCATAAATGTAATTTAATTCTGGGAAATGACGTAGCAGAAGTCCAGGACTTTTCCTATTGTTTAGATCATGACAGATCGTGACAATGGCAATGTTACTGTAGTAGCACACTGCTGTCTGAGAACACCTACTGTGGTAGGTGTCTGCAGGAAGAGGAATGTACATATGAAGTTCCAGTAAGGATGTATAAGTATGTAGGAAGGAGACACTGGGCTGAGAATTGGAAAAACTAGATTGAACAAAACTGTACACTCTCTATCTTACATTTATCTATAAGAGATAAAGTTAATACTTAGATATGTTCATTGTGATTTAAAATGTAGCATGTAAAAAACTACTCATATATTTGTGTGGAGAGATGATAATCAGAGTTCAGATATTAGTATTGAACTACTTTTAGTATTTAGGATTTTAAACCTCTTCTAGATACATTTTTACCGTATATACTATGTATTATGAATGGATTTTTGTTTGCCTACAATTCATAGCACTCATCTATTCCAGCACTGCTTTCATAACAGTGTGCATGAAGTGAGCATTGCACCTGAAGTCTAACTGCTCTTTGTTCCTGTGGTGTAAATCCTGGTTGCAGAACAGTTTAATAAGCATCTTCTCTCTTTTACTTTATGTGAGTAGTTTAAGTTCAGAACACTCAAATTATGTTATTGTCTTTAATATAAAATATAATGCAATTGAGAGCTGTTAGATCTGTCAGCATTTGTTTTATCACCCAAAGTAAAAAAAAGCCTTTGTGCTGCAACAGTGTGAAAGCTTCTGCTGAAACCACATGTGGCATGTAGGACTTCTGGTGGAAAACAAACACCAAGCAGAGCCTTCTGGTGATTTAAAACTTGTAACAGTTCTACATGTAATCAATTCTTTTAAGAAGAATGCAAAACAACAACAAAGAAACAGTACAGTTGGACTATATACTGGTCTATTACTATATTTATATTACTATATACTATACTGTTGGTCTATTACTATATTTTTAGTGTCTTTATTTCATTTACATATATTAATGAATATATAAAGATCTATTTATATAAAAATGTGAAATCCGATACAGTAAGTACAGTATGTTGTACAAATATGGATCATAATCTAATGCATTTAGGTGGCTCATGGCGGCTTCATGGAATCCCTTTCCAGTGCAAGGTATGTCCCTCTCCAGTAGGATGCTTTGAGGTGGCTTTTCCCTCTTCAGGGTGGCTGCTAAAGAAAGGGTGTAGGAGTATGGGAAAAGTGGGAAAGTGGACCTTAAACAGTTCAGTGGTGATTTTAACCCTCTATTTTCCTTGCTTTGCATGTGAAAAACAACATAGGACCAGAGTTGTCTTGCTCTGTTTTGGCTAGGAGCTCTCTTTGGGGAGCTGCCCTGATCATTACAGAGATAAGCTGTCAACAAGAAAAGTGGGTAAATGATTGTGAGTGATTGTGCTTGGACCTGGAACTGCAACCTTCCTCTTCAAACGGTTGAGTGAGATATCTCTACTCCTTGGGTCATGGTTAGCATGAAATGAAAAAAGATTTCTTTTTCAAATTTAGATGATAAGAAATTTTTTACCCTAAAATTGTTACCTGTGAACTTTGTCATATGAGAAGGTTAACTGTCAGGATTACTGAGAGGAACCACATTTCCAATGATTAAGGTTACTGTTATGATGTTATGTGACTTCCCTGTGTTATCTCCTAAATATTCTGATGTTCCTTAGTATAGATAGATGAAATTTGTTGCTGATTAGAGGACATTTCATTTTTTACTGTGTTTATGTTACACACAGCAATAATGTTGCTTAGAAACCTGTAATAAAAGCACATTGCTGATGTAGAGTATGTGTGGGCTTTTATGAATCTGGAACTCCATTTTCTGGTTTCACAGAATCTGTAATAAAACAATGTCAACAGCTGAGTTGAATAAATCAAGCAAGAGTGAGGCTCCAGACAACATCACTTGGCAACTGGGAGACAATTATCTGGTCTGTAGGGATGATCAGCAAACCATGGGAAGGTTAGAGCATTCACCAGGCCTTCAGCTGTAGGGAGCTTTACTCTGTGAGGAGTTAGGAGAAGTGCTGGTCTTCTGCCTGAAGGAAGAGGTGTTTTTTCATTTGACAAGCAGGGGAAAGCGATTTGGGCTGTGCTGGCCGATGAATAAATGCTCTCTGTAGATTCCTGTTTACCAAGAGCTGACCAAACGCCTCAAAATAACTCAGTGATGAGGTAGTAGACAGCAATAAAATTAACCTTTAAAAAGCGATCTCTAAACTGCAGTTAGGTGAATTTCCTTAAAAGAAAAATACAGACAGAAGCCTGATTAAGAATGCCTCTCCTCCAGTGCTCTTCCTCCGTGTGGAGGTGCAGCAAGCTGAGTCCAACTCACAGCAACCAAATCAGATTCAGTTACAGCGGGCCCAGCGCCAGCCTCGCAGATGCTCCCATTGCTGCCCTGCGGAAGCGTCACAGGCCCAGTGCGGATCGTTAATATTTGCTGGCAGCTGCACTCGGGGCTATTTTAAACAGACATCTTTGAAAAAAGAATTTGCTGTCAAGGCTTCGGCGCATTTTTCTCCTGTAGGCATTTCGTAATAAAAGAAAAAATATAATTAAAAAAAGAAAGAGCCAAACTCTTAATAGAGGCATTGCCATTCTCACTTTCCTCTGTGAGATGTAAGCTTTGCACGGGAATACAAACGTTTACACACTCTTGCAGAGCTCTAACTTTTTGCAGTAGAAGCATTTCAAACTGCTATTTTTCTTTAAAAACGTGTAAGAAATATACAAGCGCAGCTAGGTTCGGTTACGCTATTAATAATTGCAGGCGGGACTGACAGCAGAACCACGCTCCTGTAAGGACACACCGCTGGCACGCACGGCAAGCCTCACGGCCACGAGCGGACAGCTGAGGCGCGAGGCCGCAGAGCCGAGCCCCGCTGCCAGTGGGCGGCTCTGGAGGGCGGCTCTCACGCCCATTGCTCAGCTGCCGACCAGCCGCTCCCGCCCGCCATAGCCGAGCCGAGCCGATCCGCGGCCGTTAAGCGGCCCCGCGCCCCCTCGCGCGCAGCCAATCCGGCGGCCCGAGCGGCTCCTCGCGCACGCGCCCCGCCCCGGCTCCTGCCGGGTGGGCCGGGCTTCAACGGCGGCGTCGGGGGGGGTGGAGCCGCTCCTTTGTGGGCGCCGGGCCGGGCCCCGCGGAGGCCGCGCTCGCTGCCGTTGGTGCGCGCTCCCGGCCGGCGCCGCGCCCCCGCCTTCCTCTCCTCCCGCCCTCCCCGGCCGCCGAGGGGCGGGGCGGCGGCGCTCCGGCGGCGGCAGCATAGCAGCAAAGCAGCGCAGCAGCATCAGTAGCGAGCATGTCGTCGAGCAGGGCCAAGAAAGTGAAGATGGCCACCAAGTCGTGCCCGGAGTGCGACCAGCAGGTGAGGCGGGGCGTGGCGCGGGAGCCGCCCTGTCCCGTCCCGTCCCGTCCCGTCAGCCGTCCCACGCCTGGCGCCCGGGCCGCTTTGCCCTCAGTGCCCGCTCGCCGCCGCCCGGCCGGCACGGCAGCCCTGCTGCTGTGGCTGTGGCTGGGAGCGGGGCGAGCCGCGGCTGTGCGGGGCTTCGGTGCCGCTTCGGAGCCCCCGGCCCCGCGCCTCGGCGTGCCCGCTGCCCGTGCGGGGGCTTCCCGCTGCGCCCCGCCGCTCTTCCTGTTTTCTGTCAGCTCCTCTCGCCCGTGGCTGTCTCTCGATGCACGCGCTGTAGGATAAGCGTTTGCGACGGTAGCGCCAGAAGCTGCTCCATGAGCTGCTCGGTTTCCAAAAGGAGGAAGATGTGCGCTGTTTATAGCAGCGTTTGTATGAAGCACGGAGTTGTTGCCTTTGCAGTCGCTGGTTGTGTGTGCTGTGCTCCTCTCGCTGCGATAGTTAGCTTATGCCAAAGGATTCTGTGACATGCAGCGTTGCTTAGGCGTTGGTATTGTTTAGTGACGACAAAATATATCAAAATACAATTAACTTTGTAATTTATACAATGCATATTGTCCCTGGGATGACTCACATGCCCGGGGCCGGTCGGGATCGCTCACTGTGCTGCTTTCTCGAGCTGCTTTCTCGTGGAGCAGTTTAGAAGGAGCAAAAGTGGGAGCTTGGCTGTAATTCCTCCCGTGTGGTCCCGATGTGTGTGCAGTGTTGTTTAACTCCCACCGCAGTTGTGCTCAGCATGCAAAGTGCAGTTATTGTGCTTCAGCGTGAGCAGCAGTTGGGCTGTTGGCATATTATATGTTTGCCTTCACGTCCACTTCCTAGTGGTGATGATGTTACTCATAAAAGCAGGCCGGCTCATTTCAGCCGTGCTGGAACAATAGCACAGCGCTGCAGAAGGCTGCCGTGGGGCTCTGGTAGGGGAGAAGGCTTTCCCGTGTAATTATGGGAAACACATTTCTGTTTGATCCTGGAACATGACCGGTATCCCATTTTCAGTTAAAACCTAAAACAAAAAGCCCTCACGTTGCTTGCTGAACAAATTCTAAAAAATCACTTGTTCTGACTTGCATGGTTTTTGTAATGTTCCCATGCATCCCAGAGCAGCTGCAGGCGTTACGCTGTGTGGGGCACCCTTTCATGTTTTAAGCAATGCATGAACCACTGCAGCTGCTCACATGTTGAGTACGTCACTGCAGTGCTGTTTCTGAGAAAAGGAAGCTATGTGCCGAGTTCTGATATTAGGTCGGTGAAAGAAGAAATGGAAATGAGTGAGAAGTTGAGTATGAGATAGGTGTTTTAGTTTTGTTCACATAATTGAATGTGAATGACAAACTACCAATACTAGGAAGGGCAAATAATATTACAGACTTTTAAAGCAGATGCTGGAACTTTGTTCTGCTCCTTAGAACTAAACCAGATGATGTGTATGTGAGCACAGACATATTATTAACAGGTCTTCCGTGGCTGGCAAGGAATTATGTGCATCTTGGCCTGGCACGAGAGTTGCTCATCAGGCCTTGCTTTCCAAGACAAGAAGCTAAAACCTTGCCTCTCAATGCCTGGATCTTTAAAGCTTCTCTTGGAAGTGAGCTGTTTTGCCCCAGCACAGCTCATCGGCCCTCTGCACGGTGGGAAGGCCCCTTGGTGGCTGTGTCTTCTACCAGCATTTCTTGTGTAAACAAGGGCTTTGTGTGTTACAGGTGATATACGTAGAAACACTTAGACAGCCACAGATACTACAGTATAATACTGAGTAATGTTTCTTAGACTTCTAAACTTTTTTTTTTCCCCTGACATTTAGATGATATGTAATTGCCATTTAGCATCACTGTTTTTTATTGTGTTGCTTTTTCTCTTACAGAGTTTTGATTGTATTTTCACAGCCCCAGTAAACTAGGGAGCCTGAAATCCTTGCGGTCGTTCATGGGAAATAATTAACCTTAATTTACCTTTGAATGATCTTTCTTGTATGAGAAACTCAATTTGTTTTGGTTAGAAAAACATTGAACAGACTCAAATAGCATTTGCAGGACTGTGCTGCCTCAATGATTGCTGTGAGATGGTTTGTGTAGTAAGTAATTTTCAGAGGATAATTGAGAGCCTTGGGTGAATAAGCCCCTTCCCACATGCCCCTGCCCCCAAACATTAGGCCCATCTATGTGCCTAACCTATAACAATATTGCTCTGTCAAACACCATGGAGTTAATTGGGAAAAAACACTGTGTTTCCTCCCGTTCCCATTGTTTGTTCTCCACCAGCAGTGGGGTTTGATTTATTTATTTATAATTTTGGCAGAGCCAAGGGAGGTAATTATTGGAGCGATCCAGATGTTCAAATGTGGGTTTATAATGTAAACAAACCTGAACAATGCAGATGGAGTGTCTGCTGGGTAGTGTTTCTATACTCTCCTTTTGAGACGTGAACAGTGGGAGAAGAGCGCACATAAGTCTGCTAACTTTGATTTTAGAGTTAAGTAAAGCTTGATTAGAATTGTTTTTAATGTCAGTGTTCCCATTAAAAGGATTAACCATGTCTGTAGTTACCTGGGCTGCATCAAGTCACTCGGTACTCTGTTTCTGAGATGATGTACAGGAGTTGAGATGTGCTGAAGGAAGCAGAATAGCTTATTTATTCTGAGTAACAAGTTCCTCTTTAAAATTAATGTACTGCTTTCACATTTGTGTCTTAGCCAGTTACTGGAAACCTTCTTATGCATGTCTGGTAAAATTCAGCAGACAGTCCTCAGTCTGTACTCCTTGCTGTTTCAGTGAATGCTGGCAAACTTGTCGAGACCTGTCTTAACTTGGGAAGTTACCTCCTGCTTCTTTTCCCCACTCTCCTGCTTCAACATGGTTTGATTTTAATGGTGTTATTTAAGTCTATTCCAAATTTTTGTTTATGTTTGCTTTAATTTGTGTTTTCAGTCTTAATCAAAGTTAGATGGGGTATTATGTACTGTTTTAAAACATCTTGAAAGACCTTGGCTTTAGGTAAAGATGACAAGGCTTGTCATTTATCAGCATTGCCTTTTTAAATTGTTCAGAGTAAATTTTGGTCATATTTTTGTAAGCACAGCATTTCCAAATTCTTGCACCTCGGTTCAAATTGCCTGTGGCAGCGTGCTGCTCTGGGCTGCTCTGCTGGTTGAGGGAAGCTCTGTGGCCTCTGAGGCTCTGTCTGCAGCCAGCTTTGGGCGAGCTGTGGCAGGTTATGTGTGTTTTGGGTTAACTGGTCCTTCTGAAGCTCCCCGGCCTTGTCTGCAGCCCTGTGGTAGTGTGGTACAAACGCATGTGTTTCACTTCAGGCTCTGTTGTGCCTCTCATGCTAAGTTGCTGAGCTGATGAAGGGGTTGGTTTTAATTGTTTCTGAGGGTGAATGTGTTCTAAATATACTGATGATTTTAACTTGTGCTTTCTTCCTCCCTCCCCCCCGACCCTTTTTTTTGTTTTTGTTTAATAAGTGAGGGAAGGAATGCTGGGAGTGGCTTACTGCTATGGCTGGGGATAATTGTGAGCTCCAAAAGAAAACATGCTTCTATTCTAATTCACCCCTGGTTGGATGCCCTCACTTTCCCTCACCCCTTCCTGCCAGCCTGGGGAAAAGGGCTCATTGTACAACACATGGCAGTGTTGTGTTCTGTGCTTGTTTTCTGCATGACAACTGCATGAAGAGAAGGCTTAGTGGGTGATTAACAGCAGAACCTGATTTGACTGCTTTCAAATATAATATGTGATGGTCTAGTCTGTAGCTTTTCAATAAAAAACTAAATATGAAGAGGCAGCTCTGTGGGGATGGAATGCAAGATACTGTTGTGTGGTTTGTTTTTTTTTTTCATCTTCTATAGGAATTTGGTCATAATTCAAAATGTTCTGAAATACTTTTCTTTTGCTTTCTCAGGTTCCTGTTGCATGTAAATCGTGTCCCTGTGGCTACATATTTATTAGTCGAAAACTCTTGCACGCTAAACGTGCGGAGAGATCGCCACCCATTACAGGTAATACTTACAAAGATCTGGAAGAAGGTGATAGTAGCTCTTCTGCTTTATTTCTTGGAAGCAAAGAGCAATGTTTTGTGCCTCTATGCAAACTGGCTGCTGTCAGTTCACTTTCCTTTGAATTTGTGCATAGTAATCTTAATGTATTAGTTTTTCTTCAGTTTTAATGGGGAAAACGTGGTGGTTTTGGTCTTACATCCTTTATACTTGCAGTGTTGGCATTTATTCTGTGTACACTATAGCTGCTTGCATTAGTCACTATGCAAAACAGTCCCTTACAGAAAGCTTTCTGTTAATGTTTTGAAGATAAACGTCTACATACCTCAAAGAGATCAGATTTCAGAGTACGTGCTGATTGAAGCTGGGTTTTCTGAAAGTAAAACTGTTTTTTCTTTAAGTTATACTGAGTTTTGCTTACTCATGAGCACTAGAATGGCACTGCATAAACGTGGTGACGTGTCTAATTTAAAACCAGGTACATCTTGCTTCTTTCTGCATGGTTAAATTAAAAAGGTCCATTTTGTGTCCAATCCAATTTCTTCTGTTTTTGAAGTGCATGCTGAAAAATTGGTTGAGTATGCATTCTGTCATAATTAACATTCTCCTTGTGTCCAATTTTTATCACTTCCTCAAGTCCTAGTAGGAATTAGTGAGATCAAGCACCTGTTGAGAAATTTTGTTTTTAATATTGATGAATATTTTTTTTTTCTAAATTATCCAAGAAGTCTACAAAACTGAACCTAAGAACTTGATATTTTTGTATTGGTATTCTGAAGGGCCCTTGTAGTTCAAAAGCTAGTAGGAATTATATGATTATATTCTAGATAACAGTGTGGAACAGATAATGCAATCTGTGCTACTGTCTGAAAGGGTTGATGAGTTTTCTCTCCCACTCCCCAATTGTTTTAAATACAAGTTACCAAATGGAGTTGATGGCCATAGTTTGATAGAGCAAAGCTCCTGGGTAATTCAGCTTTGTATGTGTAAATACAGCTTTTGAATTAAGATCAGTGACAGGTTAATGTGCTGTTCAGTCTGTAAGTAGCCTGTCTATGTAAATGAGGTGACAGAATCAGAAGGAAACTGATTCCCCAGGAAGATTTTGCTCGTAAGTGGAACTGCAACTTTTTTTACAATGTTGTTACTGCAGAATGGAGCTGCAGCCTTGCAAATGTTCAACCAGTTTGCATTGAATAGCCTTTGGTGGTTGCATACTATTTTCACTACTCAAGCTCACTAATCTCTACTTAACTTTTAAGTGAAACTCATGTAAATGCTCTTTGATGTGTAGAAAGGTGGTGCAATGAGACTGGGTCTTAGGCTGGGTTTGGTGGGGGAGGTATGCTGTGTAATGACATCTAATGACTGCATCCTTGAATCGGTATCTCAGTTTGTCTGAGCAGTGGGAACAATTTCAGGATTCATATCAGAAGTACTTTACTATAGTTCAGCTATATGATAAACCATACATTTTTAACTTATTCTTCACTAATGAAAATGTATGTAGTGTCTTGATGGCTGTGTTCTGGAGAGTTTTTTCCCGCATCTTGTAATGGGAAGCTAAGAACTGGTATTCTAGTGAATGTCGTATGTTACCAAACATTATTTATATTTGAATGAATTGAAAGCTCAATCCATGTAATCAATAAGTGAACTGTAATTTTGCATTTGACACCTTAATTTCTGCATGGATGTCATGAGTATGTAATTGTTCTGTAAATGTATAGACCTGTAACTGTTGTGAAGGAAGTAAAGGAAAAAAAGTTAGTGGGTGGGTGAGTGCTGAGAGTAAGTAATGAACAAAGATGAGGACAATTGCGGATCACATCATCTCTATTCATTTGCACAGAAAACAAGAGTGAGGCCAAAAGGAGACGGACAGAGAGAGTTAAGCGAGAGAAGATAAATTCTGCAGTAAATAAAGACTTAGAAAACCGAAAGAGATCGAGGTCTAACAGCCATTCAGATCATAGCAGACGAGGAAGAGGAAGACCTAAGAGTGCCTCAGCCAAAAAACACGAGGAAGAAAGAGGTATGAGAACTGGAGAAGTGTTCACTGGGTTCTCTGTTTCTGTTAAGATCTTTTTACCATTATTATCAATAAACTTCTATACCATTCTTTAGAGTAACGAGGCTAGGTCAGTTAATACCACATATAATATGGGAAAGGGAATTTGGTTTTATGAAGTTTTGGTGTTTGATTGGAAGGAATTCCTAATAATTAAATCAGTATTTTTTAGTCACCATATCCAGTTTTATCCAGATTGAAAGCCCTGGAACTGTAATACTTAGTGGGTTTTTTTTGTTTTGTTTTTGTGATCCACTGTGCTAGATCACAAGAACAGACAAGATGGTGGCTGTTGTCAGGGTGATTAGGATGAGAACATTGCTAAAAATATATATATATATATATATATAATAATAAATACTTGAGACTTTTAGGGAGCCCAAAGCAGAAAGGGCATGTTGAGTCATTGCGATGACTTGAACATTTATTCCAGGTTTTTACATAATATCTCTCAGGAAAGAATGCTTCCTTACTTATTAAGATGTCCACTGTTTCTAATCTTTATACAAGATGCACTGGAGTAAGAACCTGTTGGTATTACATTTGCTACCATTGTTGCTTGTGGCTTACTGATGTCTGCACCTTCACAGAATATCCCTGTTTATGATTGATCTGAGCTGACCTCTGTCTATGTGCACCTGTAGGATCATTTCTAGACAGTTTTGGTTTGAAACATCTGCAAGCTTTTTGGGTTGCCTTATGAGAGTAAGTTTTTTTTCATATCCCATGAAAAAGAGGAAAGCAATCTAAGCAATCAAAAGAGGAAATCCATTCTGCATGCATGTTTTGTAGTGTCTTAAAAGCAATCATTTGAAAGCATGAGCAATGTCTAGAAAACCGGGCCAAGTATTTTTGACCTCTTGCTGCATACTGTGGAGTGTGTGAGAATATGCCAGTGCTCTGAGATGGAAAATGAGAAATATAGATGTAGTGAGGCCTTTATGTAAGAATGCAGATGCATGTGTGAGGGGGTTTTTGTTGTTGTTATTGTCACATACCACTTGAGAAGATTGCCTTCATCTACTTGATCTTTAATGGAACTGTGACTACTGCATCAGCTCTGCAGAAAAGGTTAAAGAAGAAACAGTAGCAGAGCTCGAGTCTGTGCCTCCTTGAAATACATCAGCTCAACCCTAGTACAACACACTTAATTGGCTAGGAATAAGTGGGCATATGATATTTCTTACTTCTGGCTAATGTACAAATAAAAAATAAGTCAATAATTGGCTGCAATGTCTATAAAAATGAATTTGGCAGAGCACTCCTCATAACATAAGCTATTTCTCTAAAACAAGTTAACACTGAAATTTCCATTTTTGTGGTTTATAAAATTGGCTGAAATGTTATGTGGGGAGTAATAAGTGGGAATTCTAAAAATATTCTTTCTTCTCTGGTCTTGCTGCTTGATAGTGTTTTTTATGTGGAAACATACTAAGCAACTGAAATTCCTCTGCTGCAATTGAGGTGATTTTTGTGTGACTTGCTCTCAGTGCATTGCACTGAGAGTGTTTGACGTTGGGTTGGGTAGGACTTCAAGCAATGTTAACCTTGTGAAAGATGTCCCTGCCCAAGGCAAGAGGGATTGGACAGATAATCTTTGAGAGTCCCCTCTAGCCCAAATCATTATTTGATTCTTTGGAAGTTGGCTCTGGATTACAAGACACTAGCATTGAATTAGATATTAAGTACTTTATTTCCTTTGTTGATTATATATTGCTGGGATATTTTGCGTACTGCTTGATTGCCACCAGTGATTGTGCTCCTCTTCTTTTTTTTTTCTGCCAAAAAACAAACAAACAAACAAACAAAGAAATAAAAAAACCCAAATCAAAACTGGAAAAAACTTGTAAGTTTGTAGGTATTTGGTTAGGCTTCTGCATTACCTAATGCTTTCAGGTGGACAGAGAACACCTAAATTAGAATAGCATGCAGATATTTTGTCTGTCTGAAGACCACCCAGCTGTGAAAATTTCCTTCCTGAAGACATCTGTAGCTTTGCTTCTGTGATTGCTTAATGCTCTTTTCATATGTAGTATGCTTTCCCCCTGTTATGTCTGTGCTTTTGGCCAGTTCTTTTGTTTCCTTCCTGACTGGTTCACATTAGAGCTGTAGAATTCAGCACCAATTAAAAGGAATGGGGGATGCAAAAGGGCTTTTAAAAATAATCTTTTTCCTCTAGATTCAGTAAGAAGGAGTTGAGGAGGGGAAAAGAGGAAGATGACGTAGATTGAGGGGATATGGTAGAGGGCTGGGACCCAGAGGAGATGCTTCTGTCATGTTTCAAAGTGATGTGATAATCCTGGGAAATAAGAACTCCTCACTAAAAGCTTGATTTGTCAGAATTGTCAGAGTTGTTTTTTTGTCAAGATGCTGCAATATATTCTGTAAATAAAAACACTTCATAATAATCTGATATTGATTTTGCTGCTGTTGTGGCATAACCTGATTTTGCTACGTGGGGCTACAGTGCATAGTTGGGCTGGTTTGCAGGCTGCCTTCTTATGTAGATAACAACTTTGTTGTTTACTGGGTGTGAGCCTTATTACAGATATTTATGTTTCAGTAGCCTGATACTGTTTCAGGTGAAGTAGTAAAATTGCTTGAACAAAGTTTTCCCTTCCCAGCAACTTGTTACTCTGTCATTTGTGCATTTGTTTACTCACTGTGCACGGTTGAAGTAGTGCTGTCTCAGATAGAAAGAATTCTTAGAATCTCAGCACTTTGGATTTTGAATCCATGCAAAATTTATGAGGGAGCAGAGTCCACATTTGATTTATGCATAGGGGACAATTTAAAGATCTGTGGGTCCAGAATGTTGCATAAGATCTAGAAATGAGTCTAGAAAGTCTGAGTATTTTCACCTAAGTATCCTCTTTGTTGTATGGCAAAGGACTTGATATTTTTAATGTATTACATAAATGGTATTGTGATTTTGTAAGACAGTCTTTTGCTAATAATAGAGAAGTGAGTCAAAACTACTTTCAGATAGGAATGTGAAGTGGAAAGTTTTAATGCTCTCTGTAGAAACCATGGTATCCTATGAATAGCTTATAACAAAATGTCAGCCAGATGCAAGTTCTTCACTAGTTGCTGATGAAAAATAAAATGATCTTGATGCATAAAGCTTACAAACCCATGTTAATCCCCAGTACCATTTGATATAAAGATTTCAACTGATTCTTCAAAGTGGAAGCTTCTCAGGACTGGCTCACACTCTAGAAGGGGCAGGAAGGAAGGAAAATCTTGGGCAATCTGCTTGGCCAAGTCGTCTGAAGTCTGTTAACATTAAGTGGGACGAGGGGGATGTTTTTAATTTTTCTGTGTACTGACATTCTGGGTTTGTTGGGATGAGGAAGTCTGGGGGAAAAAATGGAAAGGGGAGGTCTTTAGATAAGAAAATGGGAATGGTTAATATGAAATGAGTAGTGCGTGCATAGTGGCTGTACTGAGAACAACTCCCTGCATTGTTAATAAATAAAAAAGTTGGGAAGGAGGAGGTGGAGCAGCCCAGACTGTATATATGTGTAGAAATTAGTTTCTTAAATTGCTGGGTAGGATTTCTGGTAAAACTCCTTAGCGTTTCTTTCAAACTCAATACACAAGAGAATATGGCCTGATATAGCTGGGGAACCAACAGAAATCACATTGTAAATATCAAATGTGCTTTGATTTCTATTGCTTTGCTAAGGCAGATTTTATGTCTTAAAATTCCTTCTCTGCAGGGAAGAGTGAACTGGTATGTGATTTTGAGTTGTCTAGAAATCTTTCAGTAGAAGGTTCTGTTGCTGTGTGCATCCAAATCAGTATTAAACCAGAACACACTGGTAAAGGATTTTTCACTTTCTCTTGCTTAGTAGTTTTATCACACATGCTTGACTTCTCAGGGAAAGCAGTCTATTGGAATGGTGTTCTTAGTTATGAAAGAAACTAAGGTGTGAAGCCAAAACTAAAAACATTATGAAGCGGAAGAGTAACTATGTGAGTGGTGACGTAAAATCATCTAGGTTGAAAAAGAACTTCAAGATGATCAAGTCCAACTGTCAGCCTGGTCTACCACATCGCTTATTGTCACAAGGACGTAGGAGATCTTTTTTCCACATTGTGCTTTTATGAATGGAGTTACTCTATCTTCCCATTTGTGGAGAAAGCTTGGTCTGTTCTTGTGAAGATTTTTGCAGCATGGGGGGAGCTTCCAGTCTTTCATCTCTGCTTTCCTCTGACTACCTAGGTACTTTGCCCACAGATTTTTACTGGATCAGAGGTGAACAACTGTTAGCTTGTTGATTAAGCCACCATTATTTTCTTGTATTTCTTCTTGTATTGCATGTTTTTGTATTTCTTGTAGCCATCACTGGTGAAGCAGTATGCTGGAGTGTGCTGTGGTCGAGAGTGTGTGTCTGTATGTTAATAAGGGATCAGGTGAACATGTATTGTGATTGTAAATTAGTCTGGGGCACTGTGGAATGTGCAGTAGAAATGGAGCTTCAGAGTTGAAAATTGTAGTTAAAGATCAGGTTTGTAACTACTCAAGGAGCCTAAATGTTCACAAGTCTGTGGGTCCTGCTGAGGTGCATTCCCAGAATTCCAAAGGAATTGGCTGACATAGTTAATAAGCCATGCTCAATGATGTTTGAAAAGTCATGGTTGTCAAGTGAGGGCTGTGGTAGCTGGAAAAAAGGCAGTGTCACATCCTATTTTAAGAAGGGTAGAAAGGATGACCCAGGAAGCTCCCGACCTGTCAGCTTCACCTCAGTGCTGGGGAACATCATGGAGCAGATCCTCCTGGAAGCTGTGCTAAAGCATGTGGAAGGGAAGGATGCGATATGGGATAACCAGTGTGACTTCATCAAGGCTGTCTCACCAACTTTTCTGCTTTTTATGATGGTGTAACTGCATCAGCAGACAAGGAAAGAGCTAATGATGTCATCTGTCTGGACGTTAGTAAGGCCTTTGGCACAGTCTCCCGTAAGATCCTTCTCTCCAAATTGATAAGATATGGGTTTGATGGGTGGGCTGTTTGATGGATGAGGTACTGGTTGTGAGATCATACCAGAGAGTGGTAGTCAATGGCTGAATGTCTGAGTGGAAATCAATGACAAGTGCTGTCCCTCAGGAGTCAGTACTTGGGCTAGTGCATCTTCATCAATTACATCGACAATGGGATCAAGTGCACCCTCAGCAAATGACACCAAGCTGTGTGGTGAAGTTGATGTGCCTGAGGGACGGGATACCATCCACAGGAACCTAGACAGGCTCGAGCTGTGGGCCCAAGAAAACCTCGTGAGGTCCAACAAAGCCAAGTGCGAGGACTTGCACCTGGGTTGTGTCCCTGCTATCAGTAAAAGCTGGGGGATATAAGGATACAGTACAGCCCTCCTGAAAAGGACCTCAGGGTAATGGTAGATGGCAAGTCAAACATGAGCCAACAATGTGCCCAGGAAGTCAACTGTATCCTGGGCTGCATCAAAAGAAGTGTGGCTAGCAGGTCAAGGGAGGTGATCCTGCCCCTCTGCTCTGTACTGGTGAGACCTGATGTGGAGTACTATCTCTGTATTTGAAGTCCTCAGTACAGGACAGGTGTAGACTTATTGGAGTGCATCCAGAGGAATGCCACAAAAAGGATCCAGGGGATGGAACACCTCCTCTGTTGCAATAGGCTGAGAGCTGGGGCTGTTCAGCCTTGAGATGAGAAGGCTCTGGGATCTGATAGCAGCGTTTCATTGTCTAAAGAGGAGCTATAAGAAAGAAGAAGACAGGCTCTTTAGCAGGGTCTGCTGTGACAAGATGAGGGGAAATGGTTTCAAACTAAAAGAAGGGAGACTTAGATTGACAATAAGGAAGAAGATTTTTATAATAAAGGTGGTGAGGTGCTGGCACAAGTTGCCCAGAGAGGTGGTAGAGGCTTCGTCCTTGGAGACACCTAAGGTCAGGCTGGATGGGGCTCTGAGCATCAAGCTGTAGAACTATGTGGCCTTTAAAGATCCTTTTGAACGCAAATGATTCTATGATTCTGTAAAAACAATCTTTAGAACTGTATTTTGTGTGTATTGCTGTCTTCTGTGTCTACAAGGCTGGTCTTATGCTGACGAAACTTTTTCTATTGTTTCCTTTTGCTTTCTCTGAGTTGTCAGATACCTGTTGCTAACTAAACTAAAGTATAAATAGGCATGATCTAGAGTAAGTGGTATTTTTGAAAGCAGTGTTCTGAGTTTTGGTGTATGCTACGGAGTAAATTAGTTAAGCAAGCACCCTTGCTTACCATTATGTGTCTGCAGCCCTGAAACAAGACAGTGTTTTCAGAGGAAGCTGAGGGGCTTTCCTTTGCTTACTCAGGTTTTAGTGTTGTTCCACATCTGGGATAAAATTGAAAGTCTCTAGTACAGAAAGTTCAGAAATGATTGTGGTAGCAAACTGGGATCCTGACCTGTGCTATGTATCTGCTATTTGGACTTGGGCACCTTAGTTCATGTCTTTGTTACTTAGATGTAAAATGAGGGTACAAATGTTGTAGTTAATGAGGATATTGTGAAACACCATTGTTTTTTGGGATGGGGGCTGTTTTTGTAAAAGCAAAACAAACACAGCAAAACAACCCAACAAAATCACCACCAGGAAACCAAACCCCAGTAAACCTGGAGGAACACTTGAGTTCAGTTTTGTGCCGGGAATCAATAAAATGTAAATGACTCATTCTTCCTTAGTCATTAAAGAATAGAAATTCAGTCGTGCTTTTGGGTGACTAATTCTGTGACTCTTCTAGCACCTTTGTGTGCCTCCCTCCCTTCCTTGTCTCTCAGTCCCTCCCCAAGTAGGAGTTCTTGAAGTTCTTTGCAATTCCTGTACGTATTACAACATTGTAAGTTACGTAGTAGTTAATTTAACTTAGATAATGGAAAAAGCTTCTAATAGTGACTTTTTTTTTTCTTCTACAGAGAAACAAGAAAAAGAAGTTGACATGTATGCTAACCTTTCAGATGAAAAGGCCTTCGTATTTTCAGTGGCCTTGGCGGAAATAAACAGAAAAATTATCAATCAAAGACTTATTCTGTAACTTGTAAGCACAATCTGATGCATTTATATACGGAATGACTAGCATATTTCCAAGGTGTCATGGACTCTCGGAAAGCGTGTTGTCTGCGCCAATAAGGACCATAGTATTTCCTGTTAAAATTCTGCTGCTGTTTTTGGAAATTACATTCTGTCTCTGCAAGTGAGAAAGGAAGTGTTCTCAAGATTGTGCTATGGAAATCAGAAAGCAGAAGTGTTTTATGCCTTGAAGACAAATACTAGATGAATGCTCAGAGAGACTGCACCCATGCTAGAGCACTTCTTTTAGATTTGCTGCCAGAAATGCAATATTTTAAATATTTTCAGAAAGTAATGATTTTCCTTTAAATCATATATTTCAGATTTTTGGCTGTATTGCAGTTTACATATGTACAGTTCACTTAACTTTTTAATAAATTGATATTCCAATATTTTATTGAGCTGGAAATTAAGTACATTTGTGATACTTTAAGTGTTTTGGTTTTAATCCTCTTAGAAATCTGGTACTATTTGTAGGGGTGGCATTAGCTTTGTCTGTTTGTGGTTTTTTTGTTTTTTTTTTTTAATAGATACAATATAATTCAGAAGGAAGAAAACTAAAGCAATTTCATTTTGAGTGGTTATTCTGCTTGACAACTTGACAAAGAGTTCCCTTTTACAGAGACTTGCTTTTCAAAATCCATGTACAGTTTTTGGGGTCAGGCTGCTGGGGTTTGAAGGGCAAATACTTGTTTTGTGACTACTGTTTGCTAGGTATCTGTCTTGTCTGGTTGGTAAGTACTTAGGCTGTATTCTTAATTGGCCCATTATTTAGTGGAAAGAGAGAGAAAATAGATGTTTGTGACGTGGATTGGCATCTAGCAACTTCTCACTGATGTTCCTAAAACATGAGGATATACTGGTTAAATTTAATTCTCAACAGCTTTTGTTGTCTTTTTTTTTTTTTTTTTTTTTAATATAGCTCCTTGCAGTATTGTTTTTGGACAGTTCATGTTAAATAACAAAGCAGAAGTGAATGTGGACAGATGAGGTTTTCTGGTAGAAATAGGTTTGGGAAAGATATTTGACAATAGTCATTGTGTTAAAATGGTATAATGCAATTTGAGCCCAAATTCTGACATTAATATGTAATTTTTCCTTTTTTTTTTCCTTTTTTTTCCTAAAAAACAAAAAAACAAACTTCAGCTGTAGAACACTGAAGAGGAGATGTGGGAAGCAGTTACATGTGTAGGATCTGGCATACTTACTTCTTATCGCTTTTCTAAGAAGAGGAGTGCACTTAAATGTCTCATTTTTTAGTCTTACTCATACTTTTCAGTATCACCATTTTAATAGTGAGAATGAGTTTCTGCCACAGAGCTGATCTCTGGTTGGTAGCAGAGAATTTCATTAATAAAGCTAGGCTATTGAACTCACTGCTTACTAGTTATTGTTTAAAGGAAGGAGCTGTGCTTTGAGTTAATTAAGCCATAAGGGATGACTTTTAATCCTTAAGTCATAATTGGGGTCCTTTTTAACGATGGAGGAATGGGATGGGTGTGGAAAAGCACTTAAACCACTAATCTGCATTTATCTTTATTCCAGTAAATGAGAATTTGTGAACACAAGACCTACTTCCGTTCATCATGTAAATTTCTGCTTTCCAGGGCTGTAGCCTGTCACAGATAAAAGTAGCAAGAACAGATGAGTAACTCTTAAGGATAGAGATTATGCGTCATAACGGCTGTCTGCATGGTAAGTTAAAAGTCAGAACGACAAAAGGGAAGTTCTCATTTTGCAAACTTAAGATATAGTCAGGATTGTCTTGCTTTTTTTTGCCAGAATGAGGTTTATTGTGTTAAAAGAGGAAGGGAAATACTAACGTCCAACTGTCTGGTGCTCTAATCTGCATTCCTACAGGTGCCTCTTTCTTTTTACTCCTGTATATGGAATGAATGTTCTTGTAATAGAGATTCTCTTCATCAGAGCTGATGTTGTTAAATGTCATGTTAAGATTTCTACACTTAGACTGGTGCCTTCACTTTACTGTTAAGCACTGAAAAATACATTGATACCTCTCAAATGTGCAAGGCCCTGTTCCCTCTTCATTGGTGGAGAATCTTGAACGAGTGATCAATTTCTATTTCTGTAGTACTTCTTTTTGTTTTCATCAGGTCTTTGCTCTCAATTCTTTCCCAGTTGTGGTCATGCTATTTTTCTTTCCTTACTGGCTTTCAGTTTCTTTGCAGAAGTTGTGATAGATGCAGGTTGTTTTGAAAATATCCCAGGGTGGGGGTAGCTCTTTGCTAGTGGACCACAATGGAGTCCAGATTTGCTTTTACCACCAATCAGAAACAAACCACTGTTTCCTATATCGATGGGACACTTTGGAATCTTCCTAAAGCACTGGTAACTCTGTAACTGCAATATCATAAGCCATATATTTCTTGGAATATACTCCACAATTGAACTGTAAATTGTCCTGCATTTCAGGATTCAAGAGCTCTTTCTTTGTCTTGGAGATGGTCAAGGTATTAAAAATAGCAGTAAATGACTGTAAATTATTGATGTTGAATGTATTGCATCTCAGTCTATCAAACTGTAAAATAAAGTCAATGACAGCTAAATGATGACAGAGTAAAATCCTGTGTATTGCAAACTGTATTTGTGCTTGTCTTTTTAATGTATCTGACTTGCAAACTTTTTTCTTTTTTCCCCTCCTTGTTTTCTCCAAGAAGCAAGAATAACTGTGTAACTCTTCAGGAGCTAATTGATGCAGTTTTTTTGATGACTGGTTTCAGTGTAAGATTTTAGGGCCTGCCCTGCCCTGGAATGTTTCTTCGGTTCAGTCTGATTTAATCTGCTTCATTGCATATTGTAGCAGAAAGCTTCTTTGAGGAATATTGCATTTTTTTCCCATTAACTTGAAAGAAGAGAAAATATTTCACATCTGTAAAAATACTAACTCACTTCTGCACCACCTCTATGCTAACCTATCTGTCTAGAGTAAATTAATGTTGTGAATTGCATGGTGTAGGATTTTACTGGAAAGCTGCCTGCTTGGAAGCCACGATCTTGCAAATTCAACTTTCTGCCACTTTGTTTATTTTTTCCTGATGAACTGTATTTCCTATGTTTATGTATCTACATAATAGCAATATCAAGTGGGACCACAGCTTACATATTCTGGCTTGGGACTTCTCTGCATTTACTTTATTCTGCTACTAGATGGCAGCCTTATTCTAAGGACAATTACTGTATATGTTCAGGCATTCTTACTATTAAAAGAACATAGTATTCAATTTCCTGTGAAAGTACACTGAAAGATAATCACTTTTCTTTAGAACGTCACTGGGAGGCTGTTAGTGTAAATAATTACATTAATCCCAATTTATGGGATCACAGATAAGCAGTGTTCATTATTAGTGACTATTACAGCTGCAGTGGCATTTCCTTGCCTAGCAGAGGAAAGATAGCAGTGGTGGCTCATTCCTGATATGAGGAGGCAGGGACCAGAGTGACTGGGCAGGAAGGCTGTGCCTTGAAAAGAGCAGAATGTTAAATGGGAGAGGGGGAACAACACAAGAGAAAAAAGGGCAGGGAAGGAAAGTGGGGGTGATTGAGGGAATTTGTCTGGAAATTGCATGGGAGAAAAGTTAAACTAGGCAAAGCTGGAGAAGAATGGAATAACAAGAACTAAGTATGACTGTGTGAAAGCTGCTAGGAGAGAGATACGTAGGCCTTCTGTGATATATCATAGGGGAGAAAGCAGTGCATGAGTTTCACATTTCTGGAGATGTGACAAAAAGCAGGAAAATTTGGAAGGCAAAAGAGAGGTGGTAGAATAGTAAGAATACATAAACTTTTGAGTTGAAGAGATCCTTTAAACGTAAAAAGTGGGTAGCATGAGCAATGAGTGCTCCAAAGGCTGTGTTCTTCTCTTCTGTTGTGTTTTACCATCTGTATCCTTAATTGTAAGTTTATTGGGCTCTCGTGGTTATGATCTACAGGGAAACTGATTCAGGCATGATATGTAGGGTGGATTAGGTGTTTTGCAGGATGTTTTTGAATCAGCTCTGAAAGGAGGCTTTTTGATGACTAGAATAATGAACCTTACTATCACTAGTGACGCTTTTCTTTAGCTCACTGTCTAACAATCTGCTCTACCAAAGTTAACGCCTGTCTAAAATACTTACCTCTAAATTTCAGACCCAAATGGAAAGGATTCTAGAAGTCTGATTTCCTTATTTCTGGGACATATAAGTCTTGGTCTGTGTATAATTTAAGAGACTTAATCACAGAAATGATGTATTCCTTACTTAATAAACCATTAAAATTAGAGGTCATGATTACCAGCAGTGCTGTATGGCCAAGAGAGGTCAAGAGGGTAGGAAAGGATTGCATCAGTTGATTGAATTCTTCATGGAATACAGAGTCGTGCATATTGTAAGTGGGAGCATAATAAGATTTATCATCTAATGCATGTGGCAATGTATTTATCTCATTTTTCTTCTTCCAGGAGTCACTCTTGAACTGCACTTCTCACTGTTGCAAACTTTTTTTTTTTTTCTTGAGGGCAAGTGGAGGAATTATTTTATAGCATTTTCTATTTAAAAAAGCTGTTTAAGAGTTGATCAGTTATGACAAACAGTTTGCAAGGGAGAATAAGGTAAAACTAGATCAATTATCTTTTTTTTTTTTTTTGTGCTTTTGCTGCTCATCCCTTCACTAGTGTGCACCAGAAGGCTGCAGGGCCTGTCTGTCTGAGTGTCCTGAACTTGTTGCTATCTGTGGGCTGTGTAACAAGGATTTGTGCTATACAGAAGTAAGATACCTTCCCCCATTCCTATAGAGAAGGCTTGAATCTGTTCTCTGTTGCACCTTCCTTATGACTCTTAAAGCCAGGTTTGCTGTGTGATGTGGTTGCTTTGACTGCAAAATTATCTATACGTGTTTGCTATGAAACAAAGTAGATAGTCACTTCTCTTTAATCTGTTTTTGTAGTGGTTATAGCTATTTTTGAAGAGTTTGCTGGGTAAGTTGGCTTTTGTGAGTTTATTCAGCTGCAGACATTGTGCCCACCCATTTTGATGGAACAAAAAATAATCACAGAATGAAAATTTTCTGACAGTTGTACTTGTGTGCGCGTTTTGAACACAGGATTCATTGCAGTGCAGATCTTTGCAGGCCAATGAAGTTAGAGCAGAGTTGAATCTAGCCCAATAGATACTATTCTTTTAAAAATAAATGAATAAATCAGCCTGCTTAAAGCAGTCTGCTACTGTTTTCCGTCCAAAACAATGAGCTTGAACACTACAGGTTTAAAAATAGAATATAATTTATGAGCCTTCTAATCTTGGAGATGAGTCTATATGTAAATAGGATTTAAATTCTAAAATGAATATTAATGAGATGGGGAG